TCTTTTAGATAATATATTGGTCAAACTAATCCCTCCATGGTTGTCACAGGATGATTTTGACCCTTTCTTATATATTGGGACGATAAGTGATTGTGACCAGTCAGAGGGGATTATGTCCAACTCCCAGATTTTAGCTAAAATATTAGTCAACCTAGTCGCTAGAATTGGACCACCGTCCTTAAAGACCTCTGAAGCCAGTCCATCTGCCCTTCCTCGTTTCAGATTAACTATAACCTTTTGAACTTCAGCTAGAGCTGGGGGACCTACTTCAATGTTCCATTCACACTGTCTGGGAATGGAGGGTAGTTGTAGAGTAGCTGAGGTCCAGCTGAACTGTTCTCTAAAATGTTCCGCCATCGTTGTAAACGTCTGGACAGGGAGCGGATAAGAACGTCGTCTTTTTCCGAAATAGTCTGACATACATTTGACTTATTAATTCCAGTTTCTTTTATTAGTCTGTAGAGTTGTCTTGTGTTCCCTATAGCCGCTGCCTTTTCCATCCCTTTTGCTTTCGTTGCCCACCACTGCTCACGATCGTCCCTTAGACTTTTGCTTAATCTAGATCTGATTTGTTTACGCTCTTCATCGTGTTCAGAACCTGATGGGATGAGTTTAAGCGAATCGACCAGTGCACTAGACCTTGAAGAACTCCATTGGTTCCTTGTAACCCTGTGGTTTAAATCACAAATAGATGTCACTGCTGTTTCCACAGCTGCTTGTATATCTTTCCAAGCAACATCGGGGTCAGCCTCGTTTTCAGAACTACCTAAGTGTGACCTCAGTTGTTCCTGGAACCTACTTTTGGCTTTCTCATTACTCAATTCGGTTCTAATGAGTCTTTTCTGTGTGGCTCTTTTGCGTCCAGTGAGGCGCAAGCAGATGCGTGCTCGTACTAGGGCATGGTCGGAGTCCAAGCAGGTACCCCAGAATGAGCGACAATCTTCTATTGACCCTCTCCAACGATGGACTGATGGCAATATGGTCTATTTGAGTCCATCGTTGGTTAGGTGCAGGGGGTCGCCATGTCAGACGATGTCTCTCCTTAGGCTTAAAATTTATGTTTGCTAAAAATAAACGATTGTCTGAGCAAAGTTGCAGCAGACGATCACCATTATCTGTTCGCTGTGCCGGAATACAAAGATACCCATCTGAATGTCTTTCTGTTTCGTTTAAGCTATCTACCTAGGCATTAAAGTCGCCTGCTACGAGTACTATGTCTGAACGTTTAGCTTTCTGAAGAAGTTCAGACAGCTTTCTGTAAAATTCATCTTTCACTTCATCCGAACTGCAGTCAGTGGGAGCGTAGGCAGAAACGACGAAAAGGCAACGACGTGTGTCCTTTCGAGTTCTTACAGAGCCGTTTAGACGAACAGCGCATAGACGACTATAAAAGGGGTTCCACTTTAATAGCGCTTGTTCCGCCCTCATGCTTAGTGCTATGCCTACACCTGCCAGTCCACGAGAACTAGCCATCGGAGGGTGTACCTCGTCGGCACTACGTTTTGCCAATGTGAGGTCAAGTGAATGACCACGCTAAGATCCTGTAGGCGTGTTTCGGAGACACAGCATACATCAATTGAACGAGATTCTATGGTTTTAGCCAAGGAAGCCTTCTGACCGATTTGGCATAGTGTGCGTACGTTAAAGGCTCCAATGTGTAGTTTGGAGCGACGTTTCAGTAGACCTGGGACAGTGTTTTGCGCACTAGAATCGTTGGCTATGGTGACACTTGAGGAGAAAGCCGAAAGAGGGAGTTCAGGTTTGAAAGTCGATGTAGGAGAAATAATAGGAATTGAAGAGGGAGGTTGATTATGAATACAGTGGTCTTGAGTGCTGTTTTAGGTATGAGGGCGGTTATCACTTCCCGGTTGCTCACACTGTGGAAGGGTTCTGCTGGAGGTACCTGAAAAGGAAATTGGATTAGAGGTGGTCATAGTGACCTGAGAGCGTGACCGCAGTGCCCAAGGGACAGCCGCTTGAGGTCGGTCACCCACGACCTTTTTATGAGTGAGTTTTGTGTTAGCTCCGTACTTGTTGAGACCTTACCACCGAAGACGGATATCCGTGGGATAAGGCGAGGTATGCATTTTTAGGGTCGACCTTTTCTAACCCCACCCCTTCTTGTGGGAAGGCAGCACCACTGTTATGCTGGTTGTCTGAAGCAAACACCTTACTGCTGTCACACCTCTGTACAGTCAGCAGTACGACTTCGCCTTCGGACCTTGGTTTTGTTGCTTTTAGTCTTACCGCTCTTCAACCGACCTGTCTGGCATGATAGGACCTTGAGGAACGGTTGTTCCAGCCAGTATAGCTCAGTTGCTTCATCACGATAGGCAAGCCCGACCACCACGTCAAGGTAGCAACAATGGTCAGGACATGAAGTAAAAATATTTCAGCGAAATAATATGAACTAATAAAAGCAACATTTTAAAGAGTTTATGTTGTTCATTGAACAGATGCCCCTGACGTATTCTTAACTGTATTAACCAATTATGCAATACATCATGTCTTCTAGAGATGGGATGTTATAAAAATATTTACTACCAACAAAAGTATACATTCCGGATTGTTAAATGAAATGAGACACTCATACGGAATTCGCAAGTAACTTGTTTTCAAGCTTCGAATGTTTATGGTGGAGCGAAGATACTTTCTAATTCATACATTCTACATGAAAGCTAGATACTTTTCTCTTGATTAGATTTCATTACATTTACAGTGTTAGCTAAAATACCTCTGTCTGCTCTGTAAATTCTTGACTGACTGTTCCATTAGAAGCTCTATATAAGGAACAAATGTATATTCACCCATCTATTCACTATATTTAATCACAACTTGTGCAAACATCCAGATCTGGATATCCCCTAAACAATGTCAACACAATCAATGGTGAATGTAGAAAATGTCGTCATTTATAAAAGAAAATAATGATAGTTTTGATTGCAATGAAGAAACTCTCAACATACACCTGAACCGAATTATTATGCCTCTTCAAAACCGTTTGACTGAGAGTTCAACTAAATATGGTTAGGTTAACTGATGTTTCTTGGATACTCTTCCAAGGTCCGGGCAACTCAATATCAATTAGACCAGCTCCAACCACTTTAGATCAATAAAATAATGAGCTTTTGCTCATGTCTTAACCATAATTGCAGGTCTGTAACTTCCAAACTGAATAATGAGGGTGGAAAATAAGTTCAGAAAAGCATAATAGTATAGCAGATACAAAGGTACTTGTTCATTAAGATGTTTATTTGAATCTCATTGTCCCTGTAAATAATTCAAACTAAGTTATAGCATAACATCTACTTAATACACAGCAACCAATGAATATACAATGTTGATACATACAACACTTGATGATAGTTTTTAAATCCTACTGCCTTTTTCTCCTAGCCCTATCTGTCATACGAAAGTGAGACACTACAACCTCTGAATGATTTTAACCTATCTAAGCATTATTGAAGCCATTTAGTATAACATCTACTAAAAAGTAGTAAAATACTTAGTTTAGTTACATTAATTACTTAAACCAGTAAACCTGGTGACTCTGTGAACTGTATGTTTACACCAAGTTATTGATTAATTAGTTTTAACTAATCGCAGTTCAACACATCCAAACTTGTCTATTGACAGGGCATTTAAAATGATATATTTCCTTTTGTGTATTTTGGTGTCGTTGTGATCAGTGTTTAGTGCATAAACGAATTTTTATCTATAGCCTAACATTCTGTTTAGCATTGAGTCATTCCAATCTTGCTACACTGATCAATTTGCAAATAGTAATTTATTCCGTAGTCATAAGAAACGGTCATACCAGCAGCAAAATTATTTCACCGAATCATTACAGCGCCCAAAACTGACTTGTATTTAATGAGAAATAAATAAATATTCCACGTGATCTGAGCCACTTAGGTAAGACGTTCTCTGCAATATAACATGATCAACCTAGTAGTCGATCACTTCTTAAAATTCTGATCTTAACCGTTTTTCAAGAGCGTCGATCTAAGAATGATAGCAATTACAAATATGAAAATGTTACGAAACTTAACCCAACTTTTCAGCGTTAGCATAAACCCAGACATTGAAGTACTGATACCATATTGCAATACGCAAACGAAACATCCGGGGAAAAAAGTCCCACTGACTTTACACAAATCAATGTTTCATGAATCCCCTAGTCTGCTTCGATCTTGATAAGTTCATTACAATCATATTTATTTGATCTTGTATAATCTGCGATCACCACAAATGCAAAGATTTGACGCTAACACGCATTATGTCGCACACATTGACACGCTCTCAAGATCAAAATATAGTTCCCTTCTTGTTGACAATTTTCCTAAATCTGATTGATTTTCTTGTATCAGGTGATACGTTTACAACCATAATAGTAATGGTTTAAAAAACACCATAAGCGACTGATACACTGTAAAACAGTTCGATATGCAATGCATGCACAAACAACTAGCTAAATTAATTTAGATAAACTTACTGATTAACTACTAGAATACTAGGTTATGTAGCAAACTTGGCAATGTATCAATTTAGAATACCGGGTTTCTGACTTTTTGAGTCTAATTGGAAAATACTTAACATCATTAATTGCCTACATATTTTTCCGTGCATAAAGTGGTCAAGAGCTTTTGTCGAAGTACTTTATTTGGTATGTAATTAAATTAAAAAGCTGTTGTAGTAAATTTTAGTCACAACTACTGTGGGAGAGTTGATGAGACTACCTATTTTCATAAACCCATAATATATGAAGCGGACTCTAAATTTCTAACGCAGTGATTGAAACTCAAAATCTAATTATCACCAACGATAAATCGACAAAGGAAAGACTTCAAGATTAGATCTTTTATTTTATTTGCTTGTACATCGATCGTATTCACAGAAATAGTGTTCAATTAAATTAAGGAACGAAACACAGTACAAAATACATTCGGAAATGCTAGTCTAAAATTGTTAAAGATGTTAATACTATCCAACACTTCGATTTATTTTTTCTTTAAAATATCTAGACCGGCGTCGAATTTAGGATCAGCAACATTGAGAATTAAAGAGCCAGAATGTAGAAATGCACGATTTTGAGACTGAGCAACCTAAAAAAAGGAAAATTTAACTCTATTGTCACAATTGTAAACCTTTAGTTTGAACACATTTGACCAGAAATATGAAAATGCATTACTACTAACTACATTATACAGCTTTAAATGAAAAAAGATAAACAATTAACAAATTTATTATTATGGCTATATATATACATAAGTTATGATCCGGAAAATATATTGACTAAACCTAAGCACGACTTGTTTTACTGAAATAACAGATTAGTTTCCAGACATTTAGAATTATCCTAAGTTGTGTGTATGTGGTAATCAGTAGATCACATCGTCATAATTAGAATCATGAGTAGTTAAAGTGCTGCGAAACTTTAAGCAATAATAATAAACGAATGAAAAAACATTTTACATTGTTCCCAAAGATAGTAGTGTTTTGAGAAGATAGTTAAAAAAACACCAAAGATGTTTATTGCCTGGATGTTCTCATTTAAGATTTGTAAATACGTCTCCAGATAAATTCAGTTCAAAAAACAGTAATTTTGCATACGTTTCAAAAGCCAGTAACTTTTAACGTTGAAGAAGAGATTACGAAAATGGGTTGCGTAAAACTCAAAATACAGAATTTGAGTTATCTCTAGGATGTTGATTTCATGAGTTTACTCTCTAGGAACTTACTGGTTTAGAAGACTGAATAATTGGAACATGAGGAGCTGAATTAAAGTAGGTCTTACCGTTCGAGCGATTTGCGTAGCCGCTTTTATTTTCCGAAGCTTAAGATATCCGGGATTTTGAGAAAGGGCATCACCAATCAGTTTTGCGGCCTGAGCTTCACCTTCAGCAGTAACTATCTTCTGCTGACGTTCTTGTTTCGCACGTTCTACGAGGAACTGCGCACGCTGTGCTTCTTGTAAAGCAATCTGACAAATGAAGTTATAACAACATACGGACATTTAAAAAATAGGATATGAAATATTTACGAGTGACTAAATAGATCCGGACAATAAACAATGGACATCCTATTCATTGGAATCGGAATAAAAAGGTACTAAACCGTATATTTTAGTTTTATTTATTTACTTATTTATTTGAACACATAAATATTGGTACAGGGGGCACCAAATATATATGCGCCACACAAAACAATGATAATTTGAAGAGAAGGAGAAAAAATATATATATAAAGTAATGAACGTGGGGAATTATAAAAAGAGAGAGAGAACAATGGTGGGGGAAACGGAAAGGTACAATCAGAAGAGATCTTTCAGTTAAGGAATAAACAACCACTTTTTATGAAGAAAGTAAAAGGGTACAGCAGGATCGCCACTGGCTTCTATTCTGAGCCATACCTGATAACGTCTCTAGCCACTGTGTTGCATAATCTCTAGGACCCCAACCAAGGAGTCGTGAAAAACCAACAGAAGCCAGCCCTTTGCAGCTTTCTTTCATACCACGACACCATGTTATATACTGACCACCTCTCCGCTTTTTCCAACCAGTCCCAGAGTCGGCAAGTAATGCACGACGAGGAATTCTCTGTAACGACATTCGTAGAACATGTCCAAGCCACCGAAGTCGGTGTTTCAAGATGGTGACACCAATCTCATTATCGTCTCTGTGACCGAACACTCGATGCCGAACCTCTGCATTACTAACATGGTGTTGCCACTGAATGTCAGCAATCCTTCGGAGACAACGATGATCGAACACAGAGAGTCGTCTAACATCCTCAACTCGGAGAGGCCAGGTTTCACAAACATAGAGCAAAACTGCTCTCACCGACGCGTTGTAGATCTGACCTTTTACAGCCAGACTAACATCACGAAGGCGCCAAAGATGGTCCAGATTGGCATAAGCCGATCTGGCTTTCACTATACGTGCATTGATCTCATCACTCACACCACCACCAGCACTTATGCAGCTACCTAGATACACGAACTTCTCGACTACTTCTATCTGCTCACCATCCAGAGTGAGTACAGGATTAGAATCCTGCCAGTTTTGTAGAAGAACTTTGCACTTCGAAGGTGCAAAGCACATACCATACCTACGGACATTGATTGCCAACTGATTAAGTGCGGATTGCATGGCTTGAACATTTTCGCACAGTAAGACAATATCATACGCATACTCAAGGTCGAGTAGTCTCTCTCCAGGCAACAGATCCACACCACCATTACTTACATCCATCAGAGCTGTTTCCAGAATGTCATCGATGGCAAAGTTGAAGAGGAATGGTGAGACTGGGCAACCCTGCCTAACCCCACTGCTTGAATGGAACAATGGAGGAAGATGGTTGTATGCCCTCACTCTGCCTGAGGTGTTTGTGTATAGGGCTTTTAGGATGTTAATAAACTTCTCAGGCACACCCTTCTTCAATAGACAATCCCAGAGAACAGTCCTGTCCAACGAATCGAAGGCAACCCTGATGTCAAGAAACACTACGATTGTTGGCCTTTGATAAGTATGGCGGTGTTCTAACACTTGGCGGAGGGTGAAGATATGATCAATACATCCTCGACCAGAACGAAACCCAGCCTGCTCCTCGCGAGTCAATCCTTCTCGGTTTCTGAACAACATACGAAGTATGACGGAAGCCAATAGCTTGGACGCAACCGGAAGTAGACTTATCCCCCGACAGTTGTTACAGGAACAACGTGAACCCTTTTTAAAGACAGGGACAACTATTGACTCATTCCATGACGTTGGTACACTCTAGTTCCCAGACCTTTGCAAACAACGTCGTCAGTCCCTTAGTCAGAAAGTCACCACCATCTTTAAAAAGAGCCGGAGGTAAGTCGTCTGGGCCCGGTGATTTGTAACGTTTCAAGAGTTGGAGTTCCTTGCGGACTTTCGCCTCATTTGGTGGATCAGTCGTCACCGGCCATGGAGGGCAGGACAGTCTGACCGATGTTACCGGAGCAACAGGCCAGTTGAATTGCCCTTCGAAAAATTCTGCCCATCATCCAAGACGTCAACGGATGTTAGTGATTGGCATTCCGTCATCCTCGCAGATTGTTTCGCTCACACCAGACTTCTTTCTGCCAGTGGCTCGGATGAGTTGGAAGAGCTTCCGGTAATTACCAGATGTAGCTGCTGCTTCCAACTTACTGGCACGCTCCGATCACCAGGCTTCTCGGTCCTTACGCAAGCTTTGCCCGATTTCATTACGTAACATCCTTCGTCTGTGGTCAAACTCACGGTCAGCCGGAGTAGACCGACGGGCTTCAATAAGTTGTAAGGAACCAGAAGAAACCCAGTGCTTGTAAGCGGGACGTTTCGCAAACCCACAACAGACTCTACCCGCCATTTTCATGGCGTCATGCAATTGCAACCAATTCTCATCTATACTTTTCGGTGGAATGGTAGCTAGCCTAGAAGCTAGCTCGACTCGATACTTACTAGCAACAGAAGTTGCAACCAGCTTGCTAACATCAATCCTTTGGTGGCGGTCACTTCGTTGTCCACTGAAAAGTAAGGTAAGATTGGCGCAGACCAGAGCATGATCAGATTCCAGATAGGCAGTCTTGTACACAACCACGCCAGCGGTAGCTGATCGTGATGTGATCAATCTGAGTCCAGGCTTGAGATGCAGAAGGGGAACGCCAGGCGGCACATCGGCGATGACTGTGCCGAAAGTTAGTGCTAGCCAGAAACAGGTTGTGGTCTGTGCATAGTTGCAGGAGACGTTCCCCGTTATCTGTCCTGAGACCAACGAGTCCCCATCGGCCACCTAAACGACTCTCTTCTGTGCCTAGACGCCCGACATGAGCATTCAAGTCTCCAGCTAGTACTACAATATCTGTCGAACGCACTTTCTGGAGAACAGTTAGCTGGTGGTAGAACTCGTCCTTGATTGCATCCGGGCTGCAATCTGTCGGGGCATAGGCGGAGATGACGAAAAGACATCGTTTCTCACGCCGATTTCTTCTCACTTTGATGGAACTTTCTAATCTAACAGCACATAACCAACTGTTAATAGGGATCCAGTCGATTAGTGCTGCCTCAGCTCTAGCGCTTAGTGCGATATCAATGCCAGCAAGACCAGACGAAGATGCCACAGGGTCCCCGGATAAACGCACGTAAAACAAGCTTTTTGAAGTGACAGATGGAGAGCGAATTCGTAGTACGTCACCAGTCTTGAATACGGGTCTCGGATAGACAACATACGTCGATATTAAGACTTTCCAAAGACATAGCCAGCCCTATCTGTTGTCCGACCTGCATAAGTGTGCGAACGTTGAAGGCAGCCAGTTTGAATGGTGCACGTGGTTTCAGAAAAACTGCTTCAGTACTCGTATTCGGTGGCAACATACAATTTTCAACCAGGCAGTGACTCGAGAACGTTTAGATAAAGCTGAATTTTTACCATAGGCGAGCTGCTGTCTAGGTCGAAACGGATACAAAAAGTAGAAATAGGAGATAGTGAATAAATGACGTAGTAAATAATAATAATAATAATAGTACCAGTCATTTTTTTGCCCCCAAATGCCCTGGTACGGCCAGGAGTGGGGAGAGTCCGCTCTTTTTCTCGAAATGCTCTCAAATGGCCATGCGTATATAGCCTCTGCCAGGGAAGTCCTACTCACTGCCTTCTCGTGGCGGGGGTGTTGTTTACAAAAATGAGAGGACGAAAAGCGAATATCCGGCGCTATAACCGGATCCCAAATCAATGGTGCACATGGGCTCCAGTATCCTGAAGGAACAAATGGCGTATGAACCATTCGTTGGTTACCGGCTACCATGGGACTGCATCTCCTCACGATGCTCCACTGCCTTGTGGGTCAGACGTTTAGGTCGAAGGCTTGATGTGTGGCTCCCTAAGAAAACTACCTGCTTCGGTTTGGGCACCCGGGTAGTATCACAGCCCTCACACAAATCAATTGAGATTCGTGTGGCGCATATGCACTTGGTGCCTTCCTGTACCTATACTTATATTTTAGTTAGAACACCGAATTACGAATAACGTGCTAAGAATAGGTTGATGTCTAAGCTTAGTGTGAACCGTTGAAAAAAGTTTGACACGGTGGATCATGCTGCAGAGATAATTTGGCTCCTGTTGTAATGTCATTTGTTTAGGTCAGTCATGTGCAACATAGAACCTGGCACATGGGTTTTTATTTTATTTTATTTGAACACATAAATATTGGTACATACACGCTAAACAAGACACTTGATTTATGTGTGCGTTGTGATACTGCCAGAGTGCCCGGACCGAAACAGATGGTTTCCTTAGGGGGTCACACCCTGAGCCTTTGATCTAAAAGTCTGATCCACAAGGCAGTGAAGCAACGTCAGGAGGTGCAGTCCCATGGTAGCCGGCGACCAACGATTGGTTTGTACGCCATTTGTTCCCTCAGGATACTGGAGCCATTGGTTTGGAATCAAGATTTTCCAACTCCCCTCGGTGGACCCTCCGTGCACATGGGCACAGTCGTTCAATTTGCCACATCTCGTTAGCACAGCAAGATGGAACCTTTAGGACAAATCCCAGAGTAGCAAAGGTAGCAACAATATGAGTGATAACAGAAGAGACTAAATATCAAGGTTGCAAGTCGAAAAAATAAGAAAAAGTAATTTAGGAACTTGGGATCTATGAGAAGACAAAGAATGAATCCACCTGCGCCATCCCAAACGATTTCATCACTGTGCACACCCCAACCAAGTAGTCTAGACCTATTTGAATGACTCTAAGTGCCTCTATAGACTGGTTCTGTCTTGATTTAGCCAACCCTATCTCCCTTACAACATACTCCTGCACTACCCAACATTGCCCGTCAAGGTAGGCGGTGGTTAGGGGCACGTAGCATATCTGCCAACCACCTTGGTTAATGAATATTTACTACCTCATCAATCGATTTGTCATTCTTAGTACTTTGAGTCTAACCTCAGGACTGCTGACTTGATGGTCCCTTAATATACGAGCAATGGCCCGAAGACACCTATGGTCGAGCTCTGTTGACCTACGAATATCCTCCATATCAATGGCCATGTTTATATCCATGAAGTAGAACGGAACGAACTGCTGGTTGCTAAAAACTGTTCTTCAATTGGCTGACGGATATTTCGCCTACGCCAATAGTGAGGAAAGTTAGCAAACGTCGATCGAGATTCCTGAATTCCAGCCAATATTTTGTGAGACAAATTATGTCTGGAGAGACTCGAAGATAAGTGGAGTGATAGGCAGGGTCAACTACCTCACTCCCTATGATTAGTCCAGGCGTTGATGCATACCAATCTTGAAGCAACACTGCATTTGGAAGAGAAATGAATGCAAAACATGCTTAAATTGCCAGAAGACTCCATTTTGTCGACGTCTTTATTGAACAGAATTATATCATCTGCGTATTCCAAGTCAACAAGTGAATTTCCTGGTACAAGATAAAGTCCTGAAAATTCAGACGACGCGTTACCTCTAAAAGCATGTCTATGACAAAGTTGAAGAAGAGGACAACACTGAAGAGCACCACATAAAGTTACCGATTTCGAAAGTTTCTTAGAATACCAAAAACCTCCATATGGTCAACTAGAACATGTATAAGCGGAAAATATTGCTTTCAATTAAACTCTCATCACGGTTTACTTTAACATGCAGTAATATTTACACGTATATACGTAAATATTGAACCAATTAAGGGGGTTTATCAGTCAGTGATAACAATCGAATAGGTTGCATGAGTAAAAAGTACAAATTGGTAGTGTGATGTCAGGTGTAGTATTTGGGAAAAGAATGAAGGCTTGAACTAATGTTCCATAATAGAAGTAGGTCAACGAATTGGAAAAATAGACACTGAACTAACATTCATTAAGAATCACTGAAGTTACGTACCAAGAAGAGTTTAGGTAACTAGACAGTGAAGCATATGCCTCAAATTTAATGACTTGTGGGGTATATATATTTTGGTACTCCTTTGTGCCAACATTTGTGTTAAAATAGGTAATTAGACTTCAAATTAGATAGTGTCGAAAATATAAATGCTGAGGATCATAAGGAACTAACATTAAATTAAATTACACAAAATGAACAAAAACAGCTGAAGTTATATAAGAAATATACGGGACTATTTGATGTGTTGTTTCAAGAGCCACTGAGAGACTTTATGGACATACTCTCAAAACTTTAAAGCCGCGATTCGAAACAAACTATGGTGGAAAGTTTATTTAGAAAAAGCACAGAGAGTAAATACCGGAATACAACGTGTATTGCAATACCCAGTCATGAGACCCCAAGGACTTTGAAGATGCTACAAATCAGTGGCAAAATTAGGCTTCGATAACTAGTTACAAATAAAATTTGCTAAAAAACGTGTATTGGCTTAAAATATCAACTGGACACCAGAACAGTGAAACAGGAAACCAATAAAATGAGAAGATAATGGAAGACATTATATTTTTTTGCATTGAAAAGTCAAACATATGGAATGTAGACTGAGAGAAAGGAGCTGGATTTGAAAGTTAAGAATGGAATATCAAACTGGAAACTTAGACGAATGAATACAAATGAGCACGTTTTCGTATCATGTGACCTATTGCATTGGTTCAATTCGAGCTAACATACTCAGGAAACAATGAGTTTATGGATTAACATTTTAGCTTAAGAGCCTTGCAGCATTTAGAAATAGATGTTTATAGCTTTATCAATTTGGTTATCGTTCTGTTTTAAACGATGCGCCTAGCTTTCACATCACTCGCTCGTTATGTTTCATGATAAATGAGCAATTTTCTAATGATACTTACCACTTAATACTTGAGGTTTGTACGATGTTAATTTACCTAACAGACGGAGTAAATTAGAGGCTCGTGTATTTTACGAATATTGTTCAGATGGTCACCGTCACTGATAGTACTTACACAGAAAAGAACAAGAAGAAGCTTTTAAAAAGGGGACGTAGAGTAGTCGAAAACCTTACAGTTAAAGTACACTAGTAAGAACAATTCCCGATAAACTAATAAATTAGGGTGGGTTTACCACTTGTTGTATACAAATGTCTACGAGATGGAGTTAAATTTACTAGCCCCTCTTTTATGATGACTACAAAAGTTTAACTTGCATCTACCTTATTGAAAAAGAGGATAACCAAACATCAAGCAAATAAACAAACCTGTTTCGCTTCAACAGCAGCAGAGTAAACTTGTGAAAAAGTTAAATCAGTGATGGAGACATCATCAACAATTATATGGAAATCACTAGCTCTTTCGACAAGCTGTTTGCGAATCAGCAATGATACTTGCTGACGCTGAGTAATTAACTGACTAGCATTAAATTTAGCAACAACTGCCTTTAGAACCTCATTGACTATGGATGGTAAAACCCGTTCATCATAATCAGTCCCCAGCGTACGATATATGTGTGGAAGCTGTGACACTTCAGGTCGAGACAATACGCGCAATGTGAGGTTAACCGTTTGAAGATCTAAAAAAGAACAATGAATGGACAGAAATGCAACAAAAAAACAGAAGACGAATTTGTTACATATTAGAACAGGATGGATTAATGAGAGTAGACACAACAAGAACTGATTTCGGTTTGTTCCAGAACTGGAAACAAATTTATTACGTTCACCTATAGTAAATGTCAAAGTGAATAGCAAAAGAATAAGCTAACCTAAGAGGCCACCGTTAAACTAATTATCTGCATTAAGATGTGAAAATTGCTGAAACTTTGTTTGACAGTCCTAACGAACAAACTACTCGGGAATTTACACGAAATTATCAACCCGGGAAATATTGGTAGGGAGTTATGTGATTCGGAAAGTCTCAGATAAACTACTTTACACTTAAAGTATTATTTCATTTATTTGAACACATAAATATTGGTACAAGGGGGCACCAGAAATATATACATATTCCGCCCCCAAACGCCCTGTCGTGGCCGAGAGTGGAGAGGGCCTGCCCTCCCTTACGAAATGCTCTCACACAGCCACGTGTATACAGCCTCTGCCAGAGAAGTCCTGCTCATTGCCTTCTCGTGGCGGGGGTGTTGTTTACAAAAATGAGAGGACGAAAAGCGAATGTCCGGCGCTTTAATCGGATCCCAAATCAATGGTGCACATGGGCTCCAGTATCCCGAGGGAATAAATGACGTATGAATCAATCGTTGGTCACCGGCTATCATGGGACTGCATCTCCTCACGATGCTCCACTGCCATATGGATCAGACATTTAAGTCGAAGGCTTGATGTGTGGCCCCCTAAGAAAACCACCTGCTTCGGTTTGGGCACCCGGGCAGTATCACAGCCCACACAATGAAATGACACAAGTAGTCGAGAGTCATGTTTTCCGCCTAACGTTGAAGTCTTCAGATACTTCTGAAGCCTAACATCATTGAAAGTAACAGCCCAGAAGGTATTTGTTGAGGGTCATTTATGTAAATTAGGAAGAAAGCTGGTATCGAGCTCCGCGGGACTATGGTAGATTTAAAAAAAACCAGTAACCTGCACCGGTCCTAAAAATGTGAATTAAAGAGTTTGACAGTGTAGATTGTATGATTAGCTATTGATAGGGCACATATACTCAGCTCTATCGAAAGCTTTTGAAAAATCGTGGCGTATTATTCTAATTCTATCCTTATGGTCACATGAGTAGTTCATCAACCGCAATCAACGGGTCCATCATACGTAAGTGGTTGTTTCTAAAACCGTGCTGACAGGATGAAGCGTTGTTAATTGACATTAAACAGCTACACATGACATCGTGAAGTGAGGGACTTCATGAGCTGCTAGTTGAGTTTGATGCGAGCGAAAATGTTCATTTCGAAGGATAAAAATTGTCAGTTGAACATTTTTACAACTGTTATATATATATATATATATATATATATATAAATTAACGGCTTGGTCACTAACCTTTGCTACCAGTTGGAGACGTGATTTTTCGTGGTCGAGATCTAATATCATATATAATAGGGTACTGAAACCACGGGATTCTAAGGCAATTTATTTAAGTCAACCAAAATACCTGAAGTGTAAGCCTTCCGTAAATATTTCATCTTGCACTCCACCAATACGACTAAACATAATTGCCCGATGACCTCCATCCACTATTTGACTAAATTGTGCTTATTTTGTCCAACGTACCTGTATATAATGACTGAGATAAGCCTAAAGTAAGAGCTGCAGCAGCACCAATGAAGCCTCCACCTATGATACCGACATTTGCGAAATTCCGTAGACTGTTCATTTTGAACGCATGCGTACCGCAGTATTTCGACTTTTCGCTCTCCTCAATACACCAACCAATTTTATTGAAACGACCACAATTATGAAATAACCAATAGATTACAATAATGTTTGTAGTACATGATGAAAAAAGAATAATCCTCGTCTTCGATGTTTTGAAGTAAGTTGTTATTACAATGTGGACAGTTTCAGCAGTTTACGTTCAGCTATGTGTAAAGAACGTACCGATGAAATTTCCAGTCTTCGTTCCCTCACTTCCTGGTTACATACTTTCCTGTCATCACTTTTGGTTTGGAACTTCGAGGACCAAAGCGCAGTCCATCTTAAAACAATCTAGTATGACGTTCCCTCTCAATCCAGAATTAAGTGTGGAAAGATATATATGTTTCAGTCCTTCTATGGAAAAACGTTGGAAAGTCCCTTTGTTAATTTAGTCTCTGACCTTTAAATCTATTTCTGTATAGTTGCTCCAGATTTCAAACATGGGTTTAGACTTGAAATTTCGAAGTTGGTTTCACACATTTCGTGCATTTCGTGTCAACAGACGTCGGTTTCCAACTGGGATCCACATGCACCTGGACAACGACAGGATCAAGCACAAAGGCAAGCTGGAGCTGATCATTCTACTTGTGGACTGTCTTGAAGATAAAAAAACGTGTAAAGGACAGGGCCTACCAATTCGACAAAACTTATATAGGTGGGTAACCTGTCCACTCACGTAAGGCTCTCACAGACAAACAGGAAGAAGCTCACGCGTTTCAAATTGAAGGCATTAACTGTTTATACATGAACGCCACGAGTCTACCAAATAAAATGGATGAAATAAGCGAACTTAGCAACGCTAATAAGGTTCCTCTGACAGGAATATCTGAATCTTGGATATCTCCTCACTTTTCGGACCAGGACCTAGCAATACCTGGGATGTCTCTCTTTCGCAATGACAGAAAAACAGGAATTGGGAGTGGAGCAGCCCTATACATACGATCTGGCTTGGAGGTACACCAAGTTCACAACCATGAGTTTGACAATCTTGAGGAATCCATATGGTGCTCTATGAGATTGTCCACTACTTCGAGGTGCCTAGTCGGAGTCATATATAGGAAGCCCACTGCCGAGATCGAGTATGACAGTCGCATGCTGGAAGAACTACCCCGATCTACGTGTCTCGGCTTCACTCATATCCTGATTCTAGGGGACTTCAATCTCCCTATAGTCAACTTCGCGGAACATACGTATACTGGAGGTGAAAATTCGATTGAAGCTCGGTTCTTGAACCTCATTGAGGACTTGGGATTACACGAAAATGTGAAGTTGGCTACTCGTTGGAGGAACAGTCAGACACCGTCGCGCCTAAACTGCGTTTTTACAAATGAAGAATTTCTAGTCGACAACCTCTCAATTCTGGCTCCCCTGGGGAAGAGCGATCACGCCGTTATAGCCTTCAGTTTTGTCAGCAAAATTGAGCTAAGATATCTTAACAACAACAGGCGCTGGAATTTCAAACGGTTGAATGTGTAAGCCCTACAGGAATATCTACGACAGGTGGATTGGTATGTTCACCCTCAACTTGATGTAGATGCTCACTGGAACTTCCTATTACACAAGCTCTTATGTGCTACAAAGCAGTCAGTCCCTCAAACGGTCCCCAAAAGCCACATTCAACCTACAATCATCAAAAACCGCACTCTTCGTTTGCTAGGCCGTAAAAGACACTGTTGAGCAGAATACAAACGAACCAACAACAATGGCGAGTACAGGCAATACAAAACATATAAGAAACATATGTATGAAGGCTATAAGAGAAGACATGCTTCAGTACTAGTTAAAGCTTATGGATAAGTTTACTTCCGATCCGAAAAGCTTATTCCGTTACGAAGCCTCTCTTCGTCAAGCCAAAACTGGAGTTTCTCAACTGCTAGGTTATAACGGCCTGACGCCGCTAACCTCCTGGCTGAACAATACTCCCAGACATCTCAACCGTCCCACATCAACTATACTGATGACGGCTCTATCTGCACCTGCACAGGACTTTCCGTAGTGAAACTGAGCGCTGACTTGGTGTTCCGTAAACTACAACACCTAAGAACAGACACTTCTGGTCCAGATATGGTCCATTCTGCTATACTAAGGGAAGCAGCTTCAATCGTGGCGACACCGCTTAGCGTGATGTTCTCACACTCGCTAAGTAGAGGCAAACTACCGGATATTTGGAAGCTGGCTCATATCACACCAATCTTCAAGGGAGGTCGACCCAGCTAACCTTCAAGTTACCGACCGGTGGCTCTTCTCTTTATACCTTTAAAGATCATGGAGTCCCTGGTATACGATGGTATACACGACTATCTGCTGTCCTTAAATTTCTTCTCACCCCAACAGCATGGTTTCAGGAAGGGTTACTCCTGTATGACGAACCTGCTGACTGCGGTGGACAGATGGACAAGCATCGTTGATCTTAAGGGGAAGGTTGATATCATTTACCTTGATTTCTCTAAAGCTTTTGATAGGGTTAACCACATCTGTCTTATTAACAAGCTCAAACAATTGGGTATCAAACCTCCTTAAATTGACTGGCTCAGTTCATATCTGACAAATCGACATTTTAAGGTCAGGGTAAACTCTAATTTCTCAATGGTTATGGAATGTCTTAGTGGGGTCCCTCAGGGCTCGGTACTAGGACCTCTCCTCTTCCTGATTTATATAAATGATCTTCCTCAACAGGTAACGTCAGACATATTGCTCCTTGCCGATGACGTGGAACTTTGGAGAGAGATACGCAACCAAGAGGACATACAGGCACTTCGGGAGGATCTGACTCGACTTCAAAGTTGGGCAGACGATAACAGACTCACCTTTAACACCTCAAAGTGTAAAGTAGTCCATCTGCGACACGTCGCAGATTAGTTACAACTTAGGAAACTCCTCTCTAGTAGTATCCCGAGTCGAAAAGCTTTAGGAGTTCTGGCGCCCTACGACTTAAAGTCTTACGCCAACTGTGACAGAAATGCCTTTCGAGCAAACCTTGCACTGGTATCATTGAAGCGCATTTTTGGTCAGTTTGACGGGAGAACTTTCCACATAATCTTCAACAGTTTGATTCGTCCCCATTTAGAGTACGGAAACATAGTATTCCCTCCTACACTCCAAAAGGATAAGGACACTCTGGAGCGAAATCAGTTCGGGGACTCAAATTTAAACCTTATGAAGTGCGTCTCCAATATTTTTCAAGGTCACTTAAAATTCGTTCACAGGTCGTCCATAAATTGCAGTCTCGCTGTTTTTTCTCAATGATTTTAGTTACTCTTCTCTCTCTGCGATATTAACTTAGTGTCCAAGTTCATTGCTTTGAATAGAGTTATTCCGTTTGTAACTGCATCATGGTTTGGTTTCACCTACCGTTATTTCGAAGTTTCAATAACGTCAATCGGAAATTACTATCCACGCCTGCTAAATTGAGTCCATTAGCCGATGCTTTTAATTACCATAGTTTAAAAATAAAGGATGAACATTTAAACAAAACGACAGGTATCTTTTGCCTAATATCAATATTTTTCCTCATATAGGACTTTTTGGCAACCCGGTTTTGACGTCTCCTCATAGTTTCCAAAGTTTGGTTGAGTCTACTGTCGGAGAGTGTCATGTGTTATGTGATGAAGCTACTTCTCAGACAAGAGTCAGGAAAATAGTCCAGGTTAGTCTCGTGTTATCTATACTTCGACTTTATTACATTTCGACAGCCACTTCATGCTATTAACCGCATACTAGATACTGCCGTTCATAAGCAGGTTATTTATTTACAAGAATCAAATAAGCAGAAAAAACCTTATAATATAGTCAGACTATGTATTTCAACTAATTTTTTTCCAAACCACTTGCACGGTTTATCGCACAGTACGTGGATCTTGATGTTTAAACATGCATAAAGCGCTCTAACTTTATCGGTTGATAAAAAAAACCATAGATTCAGCGACCAACTGATTACCTTCAAATAGTATTCATGTGTAACATCACTGCTTTCTCTATGGTTTCAATATATATGAGGTATAGTTAATAAGAATTTTTTTGAGAAAAACAGGATCTGCGCTTGTATGTGTATTCATTAGCCACATTTCTCACTTTCAAAGTAATGAAAATTGACCTGTTCATTATACTCCTTGCTTGATAAAAAGTCGAATATTTCGTTTGGTTCTTAGATAGTGTGACCAATAAATCCCACAGTCACTAGCTTTTACAGGTTAATAAGACCTAAGCAAAATTATGTTAAGCATGTTCAGACACTTGATTTCTCAAAGTTAAATTGCCCGACTAAGAGACTAAGCATTATGTTATAATTTGAAACAACTATAGCACTCAAAATACTCACGGGAAGTTTGTGAGCAAACTGATACGGATTATTATGGTCCTTTAATGAAAACTGGTCGAGATATGCACTGTATTTGTTGAATCACATAAAACACTGGTGTCTGTTGTTAATCAAATTAAAATAAAATGGAGAGAATCTTTGAGCATAAACACTAGAAAACTACACTAATTTCCAAAGTTCATATGTATATGTTCTTCACTATATTTTCAACCTTAAACAGATATTGATTCTTTATTTAGTTATTGCACATTTTCTGACCTTTTCGTTCAAATAAATGTCTCCTGCTCTTGTGAAATTCCTCCTCCATATTACCTCAAATTGTGGTTAATTAGGTTAATCAATTCTGTTTTATATTAATTGACCAATGCCTAGGTGTATTAGACATAGTTGTTCAGTTTAAGCCTCTAAGTACATACTTCACCGTATTTTTCCTGTGTTTGCGTCTATTTGAATATTATTTTCCTAATTATCCAAAAAATATTCACATGTTCAATGTAGTGAACGAAAACTCTGGGGGAAACCAGTCTATGGTTGGATTCAAAATTAGAGTGCTTTCGTAAAATATAAAAAGCATACATTAAATACATCATTTTCACATCTATCAGTTATCCTTTACGTACTTCATGATTCTTTCACTTCCGTTGTTACTCCAATTGCTTCCCGTTACCCTTCCTGTTCTTTTCAATTTAATCTTTTAGCAGGCATTCTACTTCCAATTGCTGCTACATACTACTTATATCTGTCAGCAGAAGTAGGATGCGCCACGAGTATACTATTATATCCCACTCATTCATGTATTACTATTGCTAGACCGAATTTCAATACTTTCACTAATTCATCTATTTATTACAGATATTAGACGATCTGTCCGATACATTGTGTCGTGTTGCTGATTTATCTGATTGTATACGAATGCTTCATCCAGATGAAGCATATCGCTATTCTGCACTGAAAGCATGTCAGTCAATTGGTCAACTTGTTGAAGAATTGAACACTAATTCAAAATTATATAATGCCTCTGTACGTGCAAGTAGTTCATCTCAAGTGGATAAATTAATTCCAGATACACATATGGATAATGTTGATAAGCGTGTACTCGATTTATTCGTAGCAGATTTTGAACTATCTGGTGTACAACTACAGGATCCCTGTCGACACGAACAATTTGTACGTGCTGCTTCATTTGCCTTAAATTGTGGAGCTAAATTTATTGAAGTAAGCGATATATTTGTTTGTTGACTGAATATTTTTTTCGGAGTTAGAGGATTGATTTAATTTTGAAATTATTAATTTTGCCGACTTTCTTGGCCTTTACACCTATATTCACAGCGATTACTTTTTTAAAAACAAAAATACTTCCTACTACTTATGAACTTGGATTCAATATTTTTTTCAAGTTTAATGTAAATGTTAGATAAAACGTATAAGATATAGAAGTTGGTTAACTATCTACTATTACCCAGATATTTCACGTTTATCTAGCTGAATATAGTTCATAGTTCTCCTTGTACCATACAATATATATCCCCTAAAAATAAACTGCCGTATTTATTAATTGTGCTTTACTGAAATTGTTATCAATACTACCATGATTATTAATTTTCATTGTAATGTTGCAGCCAATTTATTTAGGTATTCCACCTGTGAGTTACAGTTTTTAAAATCGGTTCACTTACTGAGTAGTACTCATTGGTCAGTATACTTGTTCTGACGTATGACCCTGTCTAGTATCACGTGACAAACCACCACTCAGAGTATCGATTTCTATGACTTTGTCCCTGAGCTGACCAATGTCACGTCAATCAGCACTAGTAACATTGAGTCAACTTCAAACCATTATTGATCTTCAATACAGTAGCTTTCCTCCTTGTTCTCCCCCTTGAGAACACAACAATCAGCCTCCTCTATACAAATAATATAATTCAAATATATGTAGATTATATTCAGCGATACCCAACCACATCGCACCATAAAATGGAGAATGACAATTATACAGGATCAAGTCAAAAGTGTCTGTGATTAAGGGAGACTATAGAAAATTGATTTAAATAAATTAAGAATGGTAAATCGTATATTAATAAATAAATGAGTATTAATATTATACTTGCCTTGTACCTTTGCGCTATTTAAACTTGGATTAATTTTGATTTGGTTATTTATTCTCTGAACAAGTGGCTTACACGAAGTCACGAAACGTCAGGAATTTTGATTTTTCTACTCATTCGGATATTACAAATATATTTATTTATTCATAACAATCTACCCAATGCTCAATTTATTCGAGATCATCAAGTCAAACCTTGGTAATGATGCCTAAAAATTCGTACAATAATAGTTAATGGGTCTAACAAAAGCTTATGATAAAAGGATATATTTATCTATATAATAATCTATAAATACGACGTGCGATGTTTTCTGGTGTAGGAGTAGGTTGGAAGAAAGCTAGGGGCGGCCAGCACAAATCCATGAAGTCACTGACAAGTGGACTGAGCCATGTTGGTAGATGTAGACTACCTGGCTGGTGACCGCGAGATGATAGCAACCGATGGTTAGAGACCTTGAATGACATGGCTCAAAATCGTTTGCAATGGCGCAGGTGCATCCACTCTCTGTGTTCTCTCAAACTCTAATCTTCTGAATTCTTCATGTCTTTTATTTTCTTTCCAAATCTATTCCACTGGACTATACTCCTTAAATAACATCATCAAACCCTAATGTTCCCTATCACTACCTCTACCACTACGGGATTTGAATTGATAACTGAATCTCTGTGTTAATGTGGTATGGCAACTCGAACTGATGTACGTACGTACGAAGTTCCACGTTGTTACTGACTGACTGAATCTATAAATAATTCCTGGAAGTTACCATTCACCTAGTCTTCTCAAGATATAACACTACTGGTCAAAGTTCGTAGTGTAGCACATAAAACTGGACGTAGTTGTTGAGATATATATTTTTACGATAGATGAATAACTGTTATAATTCCTAGTACTTTTATCGAAAACGTTTGTGATTAGACAGTTTTTTTAGTTTTATGTTATACGAATTAGAAGTTTTATAAGACATTTTCTTGATGTTTAATCCTGTGGGGTCCTCTATTTTGTCGTCATTTAGATCGGTTGTTGTTTGTTGATGGGCTCTCCACTTTAGCGGCCCGAGATCTGACTCCAGATAGATCGTATGGACATTTGCTATCGCCTATCCTCGTATATAATCATCGACTTAAATCGCGTTAGTCAATAACTAATTAAATAAGTCAAATAACGAGGATGGACTTTTGAATACATATATTTTGTATTTGAAGTGAATGGAATAAAAAGAAGCGAAACGACGCGCAGTGGAGATGGCAGGTAAGCCAACTCCCTTTAGTCAAGCGTTAGTCAGTATTTATGGGCACACAATTATAAATTACCGACATGTGATGAGTAATGGGATAAGAATTGCACACACATCTACGCGCTCATATAAAAACAGCCAAGATTGATAAGCGAATAATTAACAAGGTCAGGATGTGACTCAAGTAGAATGAATAGATTGGGCTGTCTGAAAGCTAGAATTAGGTACATGGGCTTAACATAATAACCGACACTACAATTCCTTAGAAACGTAAAAGCGATATCGGTGTATCGTGGATCCACCGAGTGAGTTTTTCTGAGGTTTGGTTACTAATCCTAGGTAGAGAAAAACGCAAATTCTTAAATGAGACTGTAAACTTTCATCGACTGAGATGGTTAGGATATGGGTTGCGGATGTCTAACTACTGTGTACCTTGACATCCAATGTTTCTCTGACATTGGAGTATATGGTAAATAGTTAGAAGTGGCCCAATTAAAGCATATCCTAGGTTTATGAAGTCATTGACTGTCGGTCTGAACTATTTCGTGAGATAAATTATTCCTCGTTGTAACCTACAGAATACCCGTTAGCAATGGTTTGCGGCATAGGATGATAGTGCGAAATCATTCGGAGTAGCAAAACGGCATTCATTCTGAATGTTCCTCTAGATTTCCGGTTAATTAGCATTCATAAGTCCCTATCCTTCGATTGTATTTGTACTCCTTATTTTTAGATTTTGACTACTTTCGATATTGTTTTCTATCATGTGTTCATCTTGTTCATTTTCTCTCGCTTTAGATCAATGTACACTTGTACCAGGCGCATTGTCGATAGAAGCTGACTGACTGAGTATTAATTGAAGCGTTTTTATTTATCGTTTGATTGATATTCATGGCTGAATTGATGTCCCTGCTAGCTTATGACTTCCTTAAATGGATGACTTGATATTAATTGCATTTAAAAGTTGTTTATTTCATTTATTTATTGAAACACACGAACATTGGTACAAAGAAGCACCAAATATATATGCGCTACAGAAATCATTCGATTTATTTGAGGGCTGGAATACTGCGCGGGTGCCCAAACCGAATCAGTTGGTTTTCTTAGGGTTCACACCCCGAGCCTTTGACCTAAAGGTCCAATCCACAAAACAGTGGGACAACATAAGGAGATACAGTCCCATAGTAAACGGTGATCAACGATAGGTTCATATGCCATTTGTCCCCTTAGGATCCTGGAGCCCATATGCCCCACTGGTTTGGAATCAGGGTTTTCCAACTTCCCTAGGTAGATCTCCCATATCCGCTAACCCGATTAAAGCACCAGATATTCGCTTTTCGTCTTCTTGATTTCGTAAACAACCCCGCCATGGTCGGAGAGAAACGAATATTTTCCATAAGCAGATAGTTCATCATGGTTTTAGTGTGTGGGCTGAGATACTGCCCGGGTGCCCAAACCGAAGCAGGTGGTTTTCTTAGGGGGCCACACCCCGAGCCTTTGACCTAAAGGTCTAGTCCACAAGGCAGTGGAGCATCGTGAGGAGATGCAGTCCCATGATAGCCGGTGACCAACGATTGGTTCATACGCCATTTGTTCCTTCAGGATACTGGAGCCCATGTGCACCATAGAATTGGGATCCGGTTATAGCGCCGGACGTTCGCTTTTCATCCTCTCATTTTCGTAAACAGCACCCCCGCCACGAGAAGGCAGTGAGTAGGACTTCCCTGGCAGAGGCTGTATACGCGTGGCTGTGTGAGAGTATTTCGAGAGGGAGGGCGAACCCTCCCCACTCTCGGCCATACCAGGGCATTTGGGGGCTCCCCGCCATGGGAAGGTAGTGAGTAGGACTTCCCTGTTAGTAGCTGTATACGCCTGACCATGTGAGAGCATTTCGAGAGAGAGAGAACTAACTGTCTTCACTCTTGGCCGTACCAGGGCATTTCAGATAATGAATGTCGATAAAATATAGTGGACGCGTTTCATTATTTTCCTGGCTAGTTAGCCCGATGTACCTGCATCGCATTGTTGGTATTCCTAGTACCCACCCCCTTATACATGATATTATCCACCGGATTATTGAGTCTCGATAGTCACTATTGTATAATCGATATGGTAATATTTATACCAAAGTTATTTTAACTATATTGAACTCGAACAAATTATTTTTCTGTGCAATCCTATAGTTAGCTGGTGTTATGATAAACTTTTCAACTGGGGATGACTATGCTAAGTTCGACTTCAATACGTTCAGTTCTAAAATTAGTTTACATGTATTATAGTGTTGTGTGATGTGGCATTATTGTCCTTAAATTTATATATATTTTGTTGTATATATAATAAATATTTCTTTTGTATTTAAATTCTATTTCTTTTTTTCCTATTGCATTATTACATATTACTTAGGGTTGCCATAGTACAATAACTTTTCCATCGAAGTATACAGCAAATAGCTATTCAAATTCAATTGAACTTGTTCATCCACTTAGTGATCATCCAGATCCTTCTATCCGTTTATCCACCTATAATGCATATTATGCACCAATTGAAGGTCAAGAAAAGTGTCTAGAACAACTTTTGAGTGCACGACATGAAATGGCACAGTAAGTTGTTTATTAATGTAATATAGTATTTGCAAATTCAACCATTTCCATCTCTTCAAAATGTCACGGATTTTAAGGGAGTGAGAGAATGGATGAAGAATTGTAAGCAACCTCCACAACCCTATACTGGTAATTGTGAGCAAATTTGCTATAACTGGGTTAATATCAATTTTATAGAACAATGTCTTGAATGTATTAACCTTCCTGTCCTCTGTTGAAATCCGTGTACACGGGAAAAGTAGAAATATACACTTTCTAATTATGTGACAATATTATAATTATAATTATTGTTTAAAAAATTTCTTGATACTGTCGATTGTATTTCTATCAGGTTTGAAATCTTATTGTTTTAAACACGATTTGTTGTACACAGTCGATCATTGTTACGTAGCATTTTTAATGGTGCATTCCCCACAGATGATGATTCTTCTCTTTGAAAATTAAATTGAGATACTTAAGTTTCATAACTTCGGTTATGTAATACAACAACTGGCTTATTGCAAAAGCTGGCTTTAATTATCTACTTTATGAAATGTGTTTTTGAAATACTAGTTAGAGAAATTAAACAAAAGCTATCACTAGCAACGTTTTCTTTAATAAGATATTTGAGTATCACATCTGCAAAATGTAAACGTTCTTCGCTCTCTATCCCTGAGAAAAACAGTACTTTGTATTGACCACCGATCTAACTGAAATAATTATATTTTTAGAAAAACTCCAATCCATTCAGTTGTTATACACCATCAGCCTTAAAAATAATCAACAAAATAAGTGTAAAAATATTGCCTTTACATATCCATTTTGTATCTTTCTGTCTGATTTCACTTGTAAGTACCGATCATCTACACATTTAGACTTGTCTTTGAAAAATACTAACTGCTTAAACTTCCAGTTCTATTGTTCCACTATTTAATTACAAACAAATTACGTCAAAGTGTTAAGTAGTTAGAGATAGTCGGAAGGAAATCCTTTACCTAGGTTTCGCGTTAGTTGTCACTCGCGAGCGAGGCGTCCTCGTGGTTTTCAGGGGACCGATACTTTCATGTGGATTCGAAACTGACCCATTCAGTTTCATAATCTGAAAAGTTGCCAGTAAGTTATACAGGCCGCAACTGATCTGTAAAATCGAGATGTTTAAAATTGATCGGTCACTGATTAATGGCCAACTTCACATTGATCTCTAATCTATTAGTGCTAATCCAATTTTGTCGATCAAATCGTAATGTGGACACTAGTGTGATTCTATATTACGTTCATTGTGTTCAGATGTTATGTGGTTGTAGGTAGTCAGCAAGAAACCTTGGACCTAGGTTTCGTGTTATCTGACACTCGTCAGTTAACCATACCTAAGATAGTCAGGTGAATGACAAACTGAATGATATGTGGTAGTGAAAGTAAATCTAAGTGTGGACAAATGAGCACTCAACTTACTATCAAATATATGACTTCCGTTCATCTTATCGCTTTCTATTCCGAACTCACTGAGAGTGATTGCTTGTAATTGTGTAGAATAAAGTATTGTCTAGCATTTACTTTGGTCCTCTGTTTTGGTCATGAATCATGTGTCTGATATAACGTGATCTCTGGTCTGTGTGTAGCAAATCTTTTGAGTATCCAATCTAATGGTTTGTGCTACTTATGTGGACATAAGTAGAATATGACGTGAGTACTGAACAGAATGTCTGGCAGCAGAGAGACGAGAAGATCGAACAATAAAGAATGAAGAAAGAATGCAATTTGTATGAAAATGCAAGAACAAGGGGATTCTGAGTCATTTGAGACAATTGATGAACAATTTGCAAATTAACAATTTAATATATGGTTGTTGGATTTTACTAACTAGTTCTGTAATTTGTTGTTTAATACATTCTATTGTCCCCACCTGTATTCTTTTCGCTACGTTATAAGCTTTAATACCCAGGCCGACCTCATTATATCATTGTATTAGTTTAGTATAACGCAGAAAGTGAGGAAAATATCTTTAATCATCCTTTATATCACTAAAGGACTAAACTAGGATGATTTTGACCATTGCCTGGTTATCGATCAGTTGAGAATACAAGTTCTCTTCTATTATAGTCATTATCAATGGTAATCACCTCAAGAATATAAATTTTATTAAGTTTTTATAGTATTACGATTATCCATAAAATCTTTAACTTATATCCCTTCTTTTTACTGTTATTTCTTTTCAGAGCAGCTGGCTTTGAAAATTATGCTAAACGTGCCACTCTCCATAGTTTAGCTGAAACACCTGAGAATGTAGACGAATTCCTTCAGCATGTTTGTAAAAAACTTCGTCCTATTTCAACTGAAGTAGCAAGGAAACAGTTATTACCAGTCATAAAAAACTCTTACCGAAAAACGAAAATGCACAACTTGCAAATGGATTGTAATGCAAATTTAATCTCGCCTAGTGATTTATCCTTTGCAGTTGGTGTTAAACGCCAGGCATTATGTAGTCATGTAAGTTATAATTCAAAATAACTTTTATTAGCAATATTATTCATTATTAATATTTCAACCAAAATGTATTGTTTGATATGAATTTGTTTTATTCCTAATTTAATCGTACATCAACAACTAACTATATTTCTGTGCATATTTCAATTACAGTAAATCTATCCTGGGAAAACTTACCATTGTTAACTAATCAACCAGTTTCAGGTCCATTTACTTGACTTTGAACTACACTGAGTGTGAGGGTCAGTGGTACTATCCTGTTGCTTAAACAGGAGTAGGTGGGAGTCCAATTCTACGAATTATTAGCTAAAAGTCAAAAGCCCTAACTGCTAAAATACCGCCCTACTTCTTAGCTTTAATTTTACATGTAAAGTAGTGACTTAGGGGTGAGAGTACTTGTCTTTCAATCGATATTTCTTAGGTCCCAACCCTCCTGACTTAATTCTGTTTCGAAAACCAGTAAAGAAGTGGAATGTGTAGTCATTGGTCATTTTGCAACCCTTTTGTCCTTAACTATCCTTTGTCAGCTAACAGGTAGCGTACGGTCATGTCCGATCGTAGCTGTTACCTTGACGTGATGATCGACCTTGCTTATCGTGTTGACTCAACTGAGCCGTATTGGCTTGAACACATGTCCTCTTAGGTACTACCGTGCCGGGCAGATCGGTTGGAGGACGGTAAGACTAACATCAGCAACTTACGGTCTAAGGGCAAGGTCGTACTGCTGATTGTAGATGGGTGTGACAGTAGTAAGGCGTTTCCCTTGAACAGCCAGCATCTGCAGCGTTTCTGCCTTCTCACAACTGAAGGGAGGGATTAGAAAATGCTGACTAAAAATTTCACACCCCACCTTACCCCACAGATTTCCGCCTCTGATGGTGAGGCCTTTTGAAATACGGAGCGAACTCATCAAAATCTCCCCATGCAAGGTTGTGCTCGATTGACCTCAGGCAGTTGTTCCATGGGCTCTGCGGCCACGCTCCCAGATATCTAATACCATCACTGACTCAGCTTCTTTTCCAGGTCTCTCAAGAAGAAATATCCTTCTATTTCATGAGCAGTTGGGAAGTTCTAACCCCCCCCCCACGTACCTGTAACAACACTCAAGATCATCTTGACGATCAACTCCCTCCTTCATCGCTTAATAATTCTATCCTCGCGAATAACCCTTCTCATATGTCTTTATCACCAAGTGGCACCAATGCTAATGATTCGAGTTTACGAAATGTTATTTGCGGTCTACTAAAACTACACTTTGAACTAAATGTTGGAGTTTTTAATATTTGAACCATGTGTCAGACAGGACTACAGGCTTCACTGGATAGTACACCAGAATCTCGCGCCATCGGTATATGCTGCGCAGGTGATTTTAATTCTTAAGTTGGTGAACTAAACCAAACCAAAAGGCACTTAGGCAGATCTTACAATGTTGCGGTACAACGAACAGAAAGTGGTGACTGTCTGTTGCTACTATGCTCAGATAACCGTCTATTTCTGGCAAATACCAACTTTAATCATAAGAAGAAACATCGTATGACGTGACGACCTCCACAGTTGCTTGATCGATGGACTCAAATAGACCACATTGTTACTAGCCATTGTTGGTGGAGCTCAACTGAAAACTGTCGCACATGTTCAGACTCGCATCATTCTCTAGTTTAAGCACGTATTTGTCTATGTGTTACTAGACTTAGAAAAATGTAGTGGCTGTGCTTCGTTGACCAATCACCCTCGTAACCGTTATCGTATAAACCCCAACGGTAGTTGAAATCAGAAGGCAAAGAGAAGCAGCTACTACAGTTTTATTAGCAGGCAACTCAAACCACAGAGCAGAGAGGCGAATGAGTCAGCAAACCGTGATTGTGTGAGAATGTGTGGAAAATGTGTAGTGTTAAATATACATGTATATATATAGAAAAGTGAATGGACTATCGAATCGATTAAGCGAATAATAATAAGGTTAGTGGGATGAATATATGCGTGGGCAGTCAACAGTGTTCAAGCATGCTTATTCATACAAGCATAACAATAATAAAGATAGAATAAGTTGTTAAAGTACAGATAATCTTGTCCGTTTACTAGGTTAACAAAAGGGCTTAAACGAATTAGATGAGGGCAAACTCAACTGAACGTGAGTTGCTATAAAAATCACAACCAGAAAATTCTTTAGAGTTCAACTTAATGATGAAAAAATCAGAATGTATTTCAGAAAGAACTAGAGAAGCAGTTAGTCAACCATAAAAGTAATATTCACCCTGAGGTATCTTGATATGATATCCGAAAAGCTGTGGAAACAGCAGTGATACCTACTAGTAACGTAAACCAAAAGGTTAGGAAAAATCATTGGATTACAGTGGCACTTACTGAACTGGTAGATGCTTGGGATCCCATCCCGTCTGGCTCAAAGCACAAGGAAGAGCGCAGGCAGCTTAAACATGGGCTGAAAAAGGTCTACTCAATGATCGTGAGCAGTGATGGGTAGCGAAAGCAGAAGAGACAGAAAAGGCAGCTGTGATAGATAACAGTAGATAACTGTTCAGACTTATCAAGGAAACGGGTATTACAAATCCTGTTGTTAGTGAGAATATCTCGGAAAAGGACTGAACTATTATTCACCATCAATCCAGGTGGTGGGGCCGATGGCCAGAACACTTTAGAGAACCGAGCAGCCGACAATCAGCCACACTTCAATTATTCACTCTCTCCAAGCAACCTGAATGGCGAACTGATATGAGTCCTTAGACTTATTGAGGTTGAAAAGGCTATAAGTAATCCAAAGCGAGAGAGGGCAGCACTGTCGGATTAACTAAACACTAATATTTTTAAGGATGATGGTTCAGTTTTAACAGTTAGATTGGCTAAAATCTGGGGACTGGATATAATCCCATCTGACTGGTCTCGGATGCTGATCATCCCAGTCTGTAAGAACAAAAATCCTCTTGTAACAATCACAGAGAAAACAGTTAAACTAATATACTGTCTAGAATATCAACTTCAATAATGCTTCGACGTCTAACCCGAGAAAACCAGGTTGGTTTCAGACCTGAACGCAGATGTATAAACCAAATATTTACCCCTCGGCAGATTCTAGAACATAGACATACTTTTCGACGTTCAACGATGGTTGTACTCCTTGACCTTAAGGTGGCGTTCGACTCCGTTGATCTTGAGGTTCTTTGACAGTGTCTGTCATTGAAAGGTGTACCAAAGAAATACATTAACCTTGTACAAGCTCTCTACCCAAACACTATTTATCGAATCAAAGCTTATAGCTGTCATCGAAATGGTGTTCACCAAGGTTGTCTACCTTCTCCATTCTTATTTAACTTTGTCATAGACATGCTTTTAGAAATAGCACTCATCGTCTAACTTCTCAGGGATTGATCTTCCACTAGGAGATTCACTTGTTGATTTAGAATATGCAGATGATATAGTTCTGTTTAGTGAAAACGCTGACAAAATGCAGAGTCATCTAACCACCTTATGCAATTAGGTTTGGTATGCGTTTCTTTCCCTCCAAATGTATGATGCCACTTCAGGATTGACTTGCGTCGTCGCCTAAATTGTTGATAGAGTGAAGTAGTTGGATAACGACCGCCCGACTTATCTCGGGAGTCTCATCAGTAATGATGGCCTGGTGCTTGACGAAATCTCAACACGGATTCAAAAAGCTCGTGTGACTTTTACCACTTTGCGTCACTTTCGACGTAGACGCGATATCTATATATCAACTAAAGGACAAGTTTACTGGTCAGTAGTTCGTTTCGTTCTACTTCATGGATATGAAACATGGTTATTGTGAATATAGGATATTCGTAGGTTACTACTAGTATTCGATCATACGTGTCTTTGAACCAATTGCTCGTCTATTTTGAGACTATGAAGTAAGCAATGCTTGGGTTAAAAAATAGGGTACTAGGTAAGGATAGCAAATCGATTGGTGAGGTAGTGAATCTTTATCGACTAAGATGGTTAAGATATGTATTACGTGTGCCAATCCACCGCCTACCTCAAAGGGTGGTGATGGGTAGTGTAAGACTAGGCTGAAAGGAAAATGTGGGCGGCCAAACCAAAACACGACTCTAGTCCATGAAGTTATTAACAATTGAACTAAGCCATTTTAACAGATGTAAACTACCTAGTTGAGGTCTGCGTGATTATCGTAATCAGTAGTTAGAAATTTTGAATGTTATTGCTCAAAATCGTTCACAGTGGGGCAGGTGTATTCATTCTTCGTCTTCCCCCGGGTTCGCCCTAACAATTTCATCTCGCTGTGCTAATGGAGTATGGCATTTCGAGTTGGAGTACATGTGTACCAGGTTTCATGCTACGACTGACTGACTGATGATCATTCTATTTTGGTTAAATATTGTTTTGTATGTAAATAGTAACTTTAATTTCCTAATATTTATTCAAATTTTCAGCCAGTTGGTTAATGGTTCTGTCCTTTGAAATCCATTGATTTGATAATATGAATCTCAACTACATGGATAAATTGTCATTCCGTCTATGCCTTAGTATTTGTTATATCTAGATGGTTGTTTTCTTGATATACCGCGTATAACTTGAGCACTAAAACGCCAGAACCCTTCCAAGTCGCAATGAGAAGACAGAAGACTAGTGAAAGGAATATTATTCCAGACTGTGTCAATTATAGTACAAAATTGTCAGGTATTTATAGTTTTTAGTAAGAACGAAATTATCATTACAGTCCTCCAATCCGGATACAGGGGGTTATTAGCATTATCCAATCGGGAAGCTACGCGTAGGAATTCTAGAATATTCTTCCAGAAGGTAATTGGATGGAATACCTTCGGCTCCTTCTGAACCTCTTACAGCTTCCTCGAGTTCACCCGTGGTCCGTCCTCACAGTGTTATTCCTATATTTTATGACATCCCTTGCGTAATCGTATAACACCCATGCTACAACAGCTAATAATCATTTTGAATCTGAAAAATCTAATAGGAACTTAAAGTAGATTAACTCACACCTTTTCTCTTTTTTGTTGAGAAGTCATAACCTTTTATTTCATCATAATCGCTTGTATCTGCCTTTGTTGTTTATTGTAACACGTACATAAGTAATTTATTGGTTCATATTTCTTCCACTTTTCTTGGTTTATAGCATTTGACAGATTATTTTTCATTGGGTGCATGTATGGAAGGTGTAAGTCAATTGGCTAATTGTCTATTCGGATTACGTCTAGAAGTTGTACCGGTACAATCTGGAGAAGTATGGCATCCATCTGTTATCAAAGTTCATGTCTATTCGAATAAGAATAATTCAACAGAACCAATTGGAATAGTCTATTGTGATCTGCTTGATCGTCCTGGTAAACCTGCCCAAGTAATTTTATTTCGTTTTAAAATGTCCTTTATCAAGTATCAAAACGTTATACTTTTATGTCATTTGTAATCGTGTTTATTTCAGTGCTGACTTCGATTTACTACCATGGTTCGCTCCATGTCTTGATCATTACCTATGGGGAACAATTCAAGAAAAAACAAACAATTCATAATTGATGTGTGGCTAGTAGAATTAAGATGTGTTTAGCTACTGAGTGTGGACAAAAAGACTGCTTGCTGGCTATCAATTATGTGATTTCTTTCCTATTGTTGATTTCTACTCTGGACTCATTGAATGTAGATTGTCTAAAATCGTGTTGAATAGAGTATTGTCTAGCCTGTACTCGGGTTCTTTACTCATGGACGTGGATCGTGTGTCTAGTTTAACGTGATCAAGTCTATGCTTAGCGTATGGTTCGTGTAATCAGTCTAGTGGTAATGTAACCTTGGTCACTGGCCCTATCATCGTATAGTAGCAGTATATCGCGGGATACATAAAATATTTTTATTCTACCGTTATGTCAATAATATATATGAATTAGACTGACCTGAAAGTTTTAATCGTTCAAACAAGCGTTGGCACATATCGAAAACATCCTGTGGAGTTATTTCCTCTCCATAAGTTAAGTATACAAAACTAATGACAGCAAAGATGGAGCTGCGGATATCAATAAAGGGAGGACAATATCATTTTAATCATCCATCAAACAACAAAGAAGAGGGTCTGTCAAAAGCATTACCCAAAAACCTGTGATTATGGCTTACTGATCTTTTACGTCTGAAGAGATTACGATATCACTTAAAACCGGCTGACAGAACGAAAGTCAGCAACACAACAACAGGACAAGCTAAACTATTTCACTGTGCCTCAGCTCTGCTAACTAGAGGGAGAAGACCAGATTCAGCCGAAGGAAATATATATTCCACAATCAGTCAGACGTACGAACGAACAAGCACACAACTCATGCATATATATACAGTACAAAAATGTCCTTGGAAAACATCAAGAAGTAGCGTACTAAAAGAGAAAACGAACTAATGATATTTAAGGTCCTCCCAAGTGGGAAATACAAACTAAAGGCGCGAAAATGAGAAATCTGAATTCCCAAAAATAAAATTACAAAAATGAGACGTTTAACAAGTGATTTCTTGGGATCTGGCATTCCCAACATGATCATTTTGCTACTTTGTAAAGGCCTTCTGCTAACCAAGCAAATACATAGGATTCACATCTACAACCTATAGGTTGTCTTTACCAGTAGATATGAACCCAACCTTAGTGTTAATTGAGAAGTTGTCGGTCTCTGTGACTGATCCTTTATTCTGCACATATACTTCATATACAAATCATTTGAACCTCTATAGTTGTCTTTTATTATCCACCGAGAGAGTTTCATTCTTACAAGCTTTTGATTGCCTCGTGAATTCTAATTCCATCAGGAATTTCGCACCAACAAAAACCTTTGCTTAAAATCGTGGCAGTCTGACTATTTTTGGTAGATATAGGAGATCCAATTGATGACGGTTATTATAGTTTTGATACAGAAAATTCAAAATCATTGCTTTTATGGTTCCAAAAGTGGGAATTTTATTAGCGTCTAAGACTGCGTTTTTGTTTTGTGAAAGGTAAATGTGAAGGAATTAGAAAGCCTCACACAATCGTGAAGTATTATTCCAGTAAGATCCATGATGCTCCCATCAAACGGTTTTGCCATACTATAGAAGCGTTCTAATTTGATTTTAAATCAAGCACCTAAATCTTTGCTGTCCTCTGTTCACAGTTATCTGTTTTAAAAGTAAAGTAGAAAAGATCTTATGTAAACTCTTTTTATGATAGCAACTATTTAACGGACAGCGAACTTTCATTCACTTTTGTTACATATTTAGAATATTAATATTAACAGTTCTATCCTGATTGTATCTTACAGTTTTCTCTTTTTGTTTCTTCATTTATCAGGATTGTCATTACACTATACGTGGTGGCCGATGCCTAGATAATGGTTCTAGTAATCGATCATATCAATCTCCAATTATAACACTTCAATTGACGATATCTCCGCCTGAATCAAATTCTAAACCACCACTTCTTAGTATAGGACAAGTTGAAAATTTATTTCATGAATGGGGACATGCATTGCATTCTATGCTTGCACGTACACGATATCAACATGTTACTGGGACACGGTAAGTATATATATATATATATATATATATATATATATATATATATATATATATATATATATATATATATATATATATATATAGTGATTTTTTTATTTGAGAGAGATGAATAAAATTTTGAATTGATCTACTAGTTTACATAACTAAGATACTGTTAGCTTGACAGTGCGATACTAATAAATCGTTGGGGAAAACACTGACTACTTATCTGGTTTGGTTAGATTCCTAGAATCACTAAAGCTAATGATTGTTTAGTGTAATTGATTGAATAATGTTAAATTAAAGCATTTCATTCTATTGCTTTATCTTGTTTGAATTCATAGAACCTGGAAGGTAGTAATTTATTACCGTTGTTAACATGTTGAAGTGTAAATGACAGTTGCTTATTTTCAAAGGTTTTCGTATTAGTATTCCATTGAAACAACTCTATGTAAGCCTGCTTTTACATGATAAAACTAAAAAAGAACATAAGTAGAGATGAGTGGTGGCTAGCAGTGAAATCCAAGACTCATGTTTCTTTCCATTTGAGATACTTCAATTTCATGTGCCTGCATCCCAGAGTTGATGCTCACTCCAGGAGTCGAGTTCAGTACCGTTCGCATATATTTACATATACCAAAAAGTGACTGGTCAAATATAGTCTTAAACACTAATGGCAATATTCAAACAACCGATACAAATGAATCTAATAATGAATAGATTATAAAATTCGACCAATCAGCATTTAATTCTCTGAATCATTATCAAACACAGATTACAATAAGAACACATCAATGGATTATAATACAATACGTTTGTGTTAAATTTTAAAAATGAATCAGTAGATAAACCCAAGATACCTTCACATTGCTTGATAAATTCGTGTTCGTTCCTTTGTACTACTTAAATTTACAATAGTTAACAGCGATCCTTACTAATTATGTAATGCATCAAACATTACTATGAGCTAAGTTTTCCACAAAACTCATACGCGTGGAAATAAGTTAATTTCTCGTTTTTCAACGGGTACATCATTTTCATGTTTCGTGAGTAACTTTGTCAGTGATTCGGGAACAAATGGAAATAATATCAAAGTTTCACTAGGATAAATATTTAATGAAAAAAGTAAGTGAACTTTATCATCCTGACAATCTTATTTCTTATTGAAATAATAATCGTAATATGCTAATTAAACAATAAATTATTACACATTCATTGTTGTTATTATTATTATATTAAAGGTGTAGTACTGATTTAGCTGAATTACCATCAACTTTATTTGAACACTTTGCATTAGATCCACGTGTAGTATCAGGATATGCTCGACATTGGAAAACAGGTCAGAAACCAGATCCTAATGAAATAATTGCATTACAACAATTATCCATTGGTCTAGGACTTGGTCAAAGTTTAGAAGTTAGTCAACAGGTATACACATATAATATATATTTATATATGATATACTTGATTTGAATATTTTATGATCCACAATATCCGGTTTACACTTACAGATGATTTCGGTATGCTTAACCAAACGGGTTTGCAAGTGAGAAGATTTGGAAATGACTAGGAAGTTGTAATTGACGAAATTGAATCATTAGTATATATATATAGTGAAATAATCGGTAGTTTTTGGAGTTCATAATCTTCAAAAAAACCACTTTAATTATGTCATACAATCCTTTCAGAACATTTCAAGTTCGGGTTAATTCCTTAAGTCCTAGTGAGAAATGTTGGAGTTCAACCACGTTGAAAGTGAAACTGATATCGTCGGTAACATTGAATAATAGTTGAAAAATGTTGATCATTGAATTCTGACTTACCGTTTTGGCGGTAACACTCTCATCCCAAAACATGAATATCCTGATTTTGTCTATGAACGTGTGTTGGTGATGGATTTAATATCGAAACAATGCACGTGTTCAGTGCTTTTAACTTTCCAATGGTCCTCAATGGAGGCTAGTCTATGATGTAAACTGTTTCAAAAAGTTACCTTATCGTTGAATATACGAATACAGTTAGTGACTATATGAGTTGTTTATTGCTAAAGCATACTCATTATCAATGCGTATCCAGTGACTATAAATTTCACGACAGTAAATTAAGCAGAATTTGATGAACAGGCGATGTCTAATCTCTTATAGTGTAAATTTTGTAGGACAGCAGATATTACCAGATATCATTACATTAAGAAAAGAGTAAAGGTAGATAAACGTGGATTAGTTTTAAGTGGAAATAAGGATCACAATTAAGTAGAAAACAGAGTTTGTAAGTTGTAATACGTACAGACAAAAACTTACAGTAATCAGTGGTTGAGCACAAAATATAAAAACGATTCTTGTGTGTTATCTAAACAATGAGACTGTTCGTTTAAGGGTCTTTTCGAGATTCTACGATCCCTTTTTTTCAAATTGTTTACTAAATGAAGTGTAGAAAGATTAACATCTTGTGACTAAATCAGTCACTTTTTAGTGACAGTTAAATTTCCTTCATTTACATAATTCTTCAGGCTACCTATGCTATTCTGGATCAAGTTTTGCACTCAGGTCCTATTGAAAATACTTTACTGCCTTATGCGAAATTAACTCAAGAATCAAATGGATTATGGCCTGCATCCTCTAAATTATTATCAGATATTCAATGTAAAGTTGGACTATCCGATTGGTCTAGTTGTTCACCAGCTTATCTAGGCGCATGGCCTCATCGTTTTACTCATTTAGTCAATTACGGTGGACGCTATTATGCTTATTTGATGGCAAAAGCTGGAGCTAATCTTGTTTGGAGGCGTCTTTTTTCCAAAGATCCTTGGTGTTCCTCATGTGGACAGGTGAATTTCTGTGAATTATTTAATTTGACAAGTTTCTATATCACTCCCATATTGTTTGACCAAACCGAGAATAATGAATGTAGTAGAATAATATGAGTTCACCATATTTCGCGGTTGTATTACCAGCTACTTACGAACTCTAAACATAATGGTACTAATCATCACATCACACTCTTAGAAATTATTAGGAATAGAACTGTTTACTGAATATTAACAAGTAACATAAAACGATACACAGAAAACAATTTAAGTGAGAAGAGAATACGGACAGAAAATGCAAACGAACTTCACAACATGTAAGACGATTTTGAATGGTTAATACTATTACGTTTAGAATTTTTTAATTAGCTGATGGGGAATCGTATTATTCCGTTAAGTTCATTGTTCTTGCTTTAGTCAGATTTGTAGGTAGGAAAAATTGTATGAAATTTTTGTATGTTATAAATACATCTACTATTTTTTGTCAAAAGTATATGCCATTATATTCAATCGTCAGTTTCTTTGGAACATTTCAAAAGTACAAAAGTTAAGATATTACTCTATTTTCATATTGATTTGTCAACTAGTATCCATTGGTATCCGTTTGGTATTAGGTGTTCAGATAGAGGAGGGTAACTGAGGCACTTTTCTAAACCACATTTAAATTGCAATAAATTAAAGCTTTTCAAGCCTTAATACTATCCTATTTAAGTTGATTTCGTATAAAATGGTTTCTTTTCTGTCACATCATGCTACTCATTTATATTACCACCTATGATTGTGGGATCTGTAACTCATAAAAATTCTCTACACTACATATTTTAATCTATTTTCTTCATTCTCGTAATATTTCGTCCCCCCTAGTTTGTTTTTTTATTTAATCTGTTTTGTCTGGGTTCTTTGTTGAATGCTTGTTTATTCAGAACATCTTGTCCACTATAAATGCATGGTTCTTAATTTATAGTATTTGTTATAATATGATTCTTATTGATTGTCATGTCATCTATGCCTGTATACCTTTCAATGCGAGGCTGTTAAACTGGACTGTCCATTTTATTTTCTTTAGTAGTATACCCTATCTCTCGTTTCACATATCACTCGTTGGTTGATTTGAAATTGTTGAATGGATTCTACACTGAGTCTTAACTCATTATAATGAGTAAAATGTGTGTACGATTAGTTGTCGTAACGCATTCTATGAAACATCTATTTTATACCATTAGTTTTTGTTGTAATGACTGTGATGTATACTTTTTAAAACACTGTTAATTTGTTTACAGTATAAAATACACTTGAATAGTTATTATTCTAAACATTGGCTTTTCTCCCTTCCCTGTTTGTATATTAATTTGAATTCAGTGTAATAGTCTGCCAATCCAATTACATTTTAATCACTGAGACATAATTTTATGTATGAGTCTTCGATGTCGATAAAAAAAAAGGGAATTATTCCACATCGTTATCTTCATCATTTCTGGTATATGTAAAGGTTTTAGTTTAACTGGATCTGCTTCATAACAGCATAAATCGGAACACTGATTCCCTCAAGACTTCAAGTATATCTTGCTGATGAATTCCAAAAGAAACAGAGATCCAGTATTTTCTACTGACTACCTCCAATTACTTATCATCTCAACACAATGCTTCGCTCACGACTCACTTATATTAGAACTACATTACAAATTCGTCACCATAAAGGACTAAACAGACATGACATTGGTGAATAGGTAGTGGTCAGTCAGTTATAGATATACATCCATTTGTATTACTAGATGACATAGTTAATTGGAAATTATTCCTAGCTGGTTAATATCGCATAACTAAATAAGTAATTGCGGTGAAATTTCACACTCCTCATTTCTAGTTGAGAATACTTCAAGTGTTTTTGGTAGATTTATATATCTCTATTTATTGCACATATTTAACTAAACGTTAAAAAACTATTCAGTTTGCTATAGTGTTGTTTAGGATCACATAGGTCTCAGATTATAAATCACTTTGATTAATGTTATAAGTAGGTCCTAACTACTTATGTAATTCAGTAGTATGTTTTAAAAACAATAAAAATCTGTTTGTTCAATCCCATTCTATTAATAATCTGTATTCTTTTTTACATTTTTCATTCTAGCTTTATATGGAAAAATTATTATGTCATGGTGGCGAGTATCCTCCAGCTATTCTACTTTCGGACCTTTTGAATTGTGATGATGAAATCAACAGTCAAAATGTATTATTATCTCCTAAAAGGTTAGCTGAAGGTTTAACTGATCAGTTAGAAGAAATGGAAATGGCTTCAACTTCTTTATTGAACCGTATTGAATCGCCGAGTTTATTCAGGCCAGAATCATACAATTAACAACAAGAGATAAAAGAACTTATTAATTGTGACAAACTTTGTTGTTGATGATACCTTGTAAATACATCAGCTAAATATTTTCTTAAATGCTCATCTATTAATTTGCCGGCTTTGTCAAATAATTTAGAACACGAAACAAATAGAAGCTTTCTTTTTTGGTACGACGTAATTTTCTTCTCGCATGTTGGCCATATCATCTCGAACAATGAACGTGAATAACTGTGTTTTTTCCTGTGACACTCACGTACTTAAGCCTGTTACTCCTCTTGGAGCATAGGCGGTCGACTAGTAATCTCCACTCTACTCTGTCCTAGGCCCTCCTTTCCATTTGTTCCCAGGTCCTGTTCATCCTTGTGATGTCTGCTTCCAATTTCAGGCACAGTGTGATTTGTGATTTGCTTCTTTCTTTTGACGTGAGAATTCCACGTTGGAGCATGTTTTGTGATGCAGCTTGATGATTTTCTCAGTATGTCTTATTTCACCTTCAGGATCTTTTCCTGATTTCCTTTTCAACGAGGAGCTGATTTGTTATTTGCCATAATAGATTGTTGCTGATGGTGACTTGCCAACGGATATTGAGTATCTTGGATAGATAGCTGCTTATAAATGCCTATACTTTTTTAATAATGATGGTCGTAGTAGTCCTGCAAGTCTCAGCTCTGTACAACAAAACTGTCTTGATGTTTGTATTGAAGATTCTGAATTTGTTGTTGTCTGACAGCTGTTTTGAGTTTCATATGTTCTTTAATTGTAAGAATGCTGCCCTTACTTCCCTAATCCGTGCTTTTTGTGCTCTATTGATCTGACTTCAACTTGATTGGACGATGATATACATCCCGGCTACCCTCGTATATAATTATCGACTTAATTTGCCTTAAAAATAACGGAATAAATACGAAAATGAATATTGGATACGTATATTTCATGCACTGGTTGATCCAGACAGACATTCAGAGAAGCAAAACGGAGAAGGCAATCATGCCAACTCCATTTGATCAAGCTGGACTCAATATTTATAACCAGAAAGAAATAAGCTACAGACGTGCAATGAATAATGTAAACAATACTCGCCCACGCTCGTATAAAAACAGCTAAGGTTAGTAAGCGAATAATTAACCAAGTCAAAATGTGACTCAAGACGGACAAATAAATAGTTCTCTCTGGAAGTTAGAATAACCTATGTGGGGTTGACGCAGCATCAGACACTACACTTTCGCATCTGCATCAGATCCCCATCGTTTATTAGTCATATTTCCTAGTTAAGTACACAAACGTTTCCACCACTTGAGCACAAAATGCTATTGGCTTGGTGCTCTGTGTTATATTTTAGGGTCTTGCTTTTTCCCTTGTGTATGTTGAGGCCTACTGCTGCTACGCTGGTTGTCTTCACCTGTATTTTTTGGTATGTGATAAAAGAGTTAGGTCACCTGCGAAGCCCAGATCGCTTTCTGGTAGTCAAGGGAGTTGATGTATAGTGACGAGCTCCACTCAAATGACTGTTCAACGATGATCCGTAGTTTAAGGATTTGGTCTGTTCATCTGGAAGTCGGGCATCTGCTGAACCCTTCATCCGGTTCAGCAACACTTTTGAAAACGTTTACTGATACAGTAATGTGATTCTTCTGTAGTCCTCATATTTCCTCAGATCTTTCTTTGGAATCTTGAGGTATCCTTCTTTCCAGTCCATCGGTAGCATTTGTTCTTCCCAAATCTTCCTGAATAGACTGAAGCATGTTTGCGATTACTACTATGTCTGACTTCAGTTGGTATATTGCCAGCTCCTACCGCTTTCCAACTATTGATTCGTCTGATGACCATTCTGATTTCTTCGATGTCTGGTGGTTCAATGGATCTGACCTGTTCAAGAGTTCTTCAAATTGTTCTACCCATCTGTTCTTAAGTCTCAGTGATTGTCCTTGCTATTTTCTTCGTTGTGTCATATAGCTGTCTCATATTTTCTCTTGAAGCCTTTTCCACTCTTCCACGTATTTCTACTTGATGGCTCTAATGCTCTTTTGTACTTGCTTGTTTGCTTCTGTGTATTCAGCTTGTGCCTTGACTTTTTCTGCACTTGCTCGTCTGTTGTTAATTGCTGTCTACTTGTTCTTCCTTTTTTGAATCTTGTCCATAGTTTCCATAGAGATCCATTTCTTATGATTATACTTGTTGTAGCCCAGCACCTCTCGAAACGTCGAAGTTAGTGCTTCTTTGATCCATTTCCAGTTGTCCTCCATCGTAGTTTTGTCTTCTTTGAGTAGACCTAGTAAGGCTCGGAACGTGTTGTTGAGAGCTATCTTGAATTGGTTGATTTCATCAGTATGTCGAAGGAATGCTGTATTTGAGTTTTGTAATACCGTTTCTCCAGTTAAACATTGCTTCTCTAGATTTCGTTTTTTTATTGATGTAAATGTGATCGATTTGGTCCTCTGTCGTGTGGTTCTGTGAAGCCGACGTAGCTTTATGCGGGGTCGTAGATGGGTACTGCTGAGAATCCTGCACTATGACCGAAGGGATCGCCCATTGCTTCCAGATTCTCTATGGTGGTCGGACACTAATCATTTCATGATCGCCATAAAAGTGAAGAATTTTCATTTAATGTTGTTAAGCTGTGATCTGAGAATTTGTCTTACAACTAGTTAGTTACAATTTTAAAAATCTTTTCACCTATTATTTGATTACCTGAACAAGGATATTATCTTCAATAACATTGTTGAGAATACCTCGGTTAGGAGACCTAGCTATTTACTTTCAGAAATTTGTATTTTGTTCAAAGTAAAGGAATACCTCCGGCCTTTTGTTAACATAAAATGAACATTCACAAAGGTGTGATATTAAAATGAATTTGTAATATATATATATATATATATATATATATATATATATATATATATATATATATATATATATATATATATATATATATATGAAGACTAATCAGTTAATCTTTAGTATCAATAATGGCGAGATTCAAACTGTTTTATGTAACTTCATATCTGTTGAACAAGTTTATAGTTAGCTGAACTCAAAAGCCTAATATAAAGTGCTTTTTCGTTTAAAACATGTTAGGTTACAAAGTTCGAGTCTTGGGAAAAATCAGATATATCTCATGCCTAAACTCATATATACCATTTCAGTAGCACATAATGTTGATCATGATGAAAGTCATGGCTTACTGTGATTCTAATTATCAGTAGAAATTAGCGAGATACTATGACTAAATACACAAATAACATTAGTTTTATTCGTAACTATACAAGTGACTAAACAACTAGCGTTAAAAATAGATTCCGTCTAATATTATTATATTGTATATTATATCCCCTGTTTTCTATACTACAAATGCATTTCATACAATCTAATAACTACAGGTATAAATAGTCGGTTATAATTGAAATTTGATAACTGTTCTTAACATGAAGGACTCAATTACACTCAACTAATCAAACAGCATTTTAAATAATTTACTATTAACTTTATGATTATTTTTTGTAGATTATTGGATTTACGATCAGACACAGATTAAGCCTTTTCTTCAGGAAATGGATAACAGTTAGTAATCCTGTATTATTTAACTGTAGGGTGAACACGCTCGAGAACTCATTGTGACATAAAGCCTGGAAATGACCATATATAAATCAAACTACTTGTTAATAACAAGTAGTATTTTGTGGAACAAAAAATGTAGCGCAAAGGGATCTCGTCACTAATGTACACGTTGTTTTTCATTGAAGAGCTAATGTTAAGATATTGTTCAGTTTGAAAGTAATTTTTATCACCAAATGACTTGACCTCAGGAGCCATTGGAATAGTTAAGAAACCCTAGATAACTGTTTCTATTTTGTTTGGAGATTGTTTAGCACACTTGATGACAATTAGTATCAAACCCATGAACTTAGAAGTCCTCTCCTCAATGATTCCCCGTCTAAGCTACTTTCTATCTTAATAGTTATTTCTTTAGGTAGGACTTAGTTGATATACTCAACATAAATCAAACTTTCAGGAAAGAATGAGTTCATACCAGTTCCTCATGAAGATTACTGCTCTGATTCATGTGTTGAGAAAGCTATGACACCAGGCTACATATTTGTTTCGTCATAACTGAGGGGTACGCTGTTAGTAGCTTTCCAGAGTGATAAGATCGTGCTCGTCAGTTAAGGTAATGAAAAACTATAAATTACGACTAGAGTTTGATTCTAATAAGTACCAGTCGACTAATTTAAAGGGGTACCAATTCAAGTTCAAAATTTCATTGGAAATACTAAGTTGCTAATTGTTACATTTCTCTTATTAATACGGTTACGAATTAACTGAAATGATGAAAATCACTTTCAATAACTATAGTGCTCTACTGAATGAGTAACTCTATATCCATCTTTTACGTAAGCGGTTACTGAAGACAAGACAACTTTTTCGTCCAATAGTAATACGGATAAATATAGCTAGTCGGTCACTATAAAGAAAATAAAAATATAACATACTTTTCCTCAATAAAACGAATAAGTGAAAACTTGATGATTAGATGAAAATGCTACGGAATTAAATTATAATTAATAACCGCTTTTTGTAGTCAGATTATTACATCACTGGATCAAAAATCTGTAAACTCAGGGATGTTTGTCTGATTCCAATTGTATCGTTAGGCTTAGGTCGTTTAATTTATATAAATTCCTTTTGGTGTGAATGTACTGTACTTATCATTACTAAATTTTTGATGATTTAATCAGTTATCATCAATCCAAATTCAGTTCTAACTTATGTTGATTACTGACTTTTCAGTTTGGCAAGTACATTATGCTCTCCCCATCTCTCTACCTTCTTGTAGTCATGTCTATTATTTTAATCTTTATTTAAATTTCTAGTCGATCCTATTTTGATTGGTTTATCCTATTTGATGTGCGATTGGTTGAAAATAGTTTTTGCGTTAATTAGGCCAATAAAAATTAAGGAAAATGGGTGAAGATGAATATATCTATAGGCGTTTCATTTCATTTTCCAGTTATGTTTGTCGATATTTGTACTATTGGGATCTATTTCCCCGATCGATTTAAATTACTTATCTATAACTAATTGAAGGTTAGTCATTTGTAAATTTCAAGGATATTTATTCGAAGATTACAGGCAATCTATCGCCTAATTGTCAAATAACTAGTGTATATTTTAC